GCACTGTGGACATTGGAAGCCCTGCAGTGTTCCCTGGAAACTGAGTGCTTGGGCGGCCACCCAGGAGAGATTCAAATGGCACCTAGTTTATTGGCAAGGCGCCTGCAGTCAGTGGCGAGTGATTATGATAATGCTGCACTGGTTAATTCAGGCCTGCCTGCTCCCAGGGAATCAGCATTGCTCCCATTTTACAGATGAGGAAATGGGGCACAAAGAGATAAAAAGTTTTGCCCTAAGGCAAAACTTAAGGAAGTCCCTGGGATATCTAGAAATAGAACCCAGATGCCCTGTGCCTTAGCCACCAGATCATTCTCCCTTTCCTTTGTATGGTCCTCTCTTTCCTCTATGAACTCCAGTTAGTGCCAGCCCACAAACAGCTCCTTACACGATTATAAAATCATGAGTGGTGTGGAGAGGGCCGATAAAGAAAAGTTATTTATTAGTTCCCTAAATAGAAGAACTAGAGGACACCAAATGAAATTAATGGGGAGCAGGTTTAAAACTAATAAAAGAAAGTTCTTCTTCACACAGCATGTAGTCAACCTGTGGAACTCCTTGCCAGAGGAGGCTGTGAAGGCTAGGACTATAATAGAGTTTAAAGAGAAGCTAGATAATTTCATGGAGGTTAGGTCCATAAAAGGCTATTAGCCAGGGGATAAAATGGTGTCCTTGGCCTCTGTTTGTCAGAGGCTAGAGAGGGATGGCAGGAGACAAATCGCTTGATCATTGTCTTTCGGTCCACCCTCTCTGGGGCACCTGGTGCTGGCCACTGTCGGCAGACAGGATACTGGGCTAGATGGACCTTTGGTCTGACCCAGTACGGCCGTTCTTATGTTCTTATGATCCAATGGATATCTGAGTGGCAGACACCATCGCATCACATTTCAGGAAAGATCCCTTCTTCAAAAGAGGCTTGGGGGGGGGGGGGGGGGATGGTTGTTTTTTAACCATACACTAACACACCTTAGTAAGTTTTCTTCTAAGTGTGTGTGTGTGTGTGTGTGTGTGTGTATCTTTAAAGGGATCAGGGACTCTATTGTTGGTGTTTGAATACATCTGGATTTTTCTCTTAGATCTTAATGGATCTAAAACCAGCTGGAAGTGCAATTAAATTTGTCAGAAGAGTATTATTCTGTGTTCCATCCCTGTAGCATTTGGGTACCTTCCAAATAAAATAAATTCTCTAGTGAGATCTCTAGAGCACTTCTCTCCTTTTGGGGTCAAAACTCGGCTTGGGACAAAGTCTTTAGTTTTCAAATCCAGAACCCCTTATGATTTGAAAGCAAAAGGACACATGGGTGGGTAGATCTCATGCACACTTCATATTGTCAGGAGGTAACATTCACCATCAGAGTTTCAAACAGGCACCATTGAATTTTGCATTTAAAATAAATTTAAATCAATGCCTTTAGAGATTACTAGTCACACAGTTCAGAATTCTGCCAGTAAACTGTACATTTTTTGCATGAGGGACTGATTATTTTTCATTAATAAATATACAGTACCAAGCATGTTAGGGCCCTGGGCACTGATTAGTACTTTTAGAGCCTATTATTAATTATTTGTATTGCAGTAGCATCTAAGAGAACCAGTCAAGGACCAAGACTGCCTTCTGTAGTACATGAAGTGATATGACAGGTGTTAGTCACATGAAGTTTTTTGCACTCTCTTTTAATACTCTAAACCCAGACGCTTCATTCAACTCCAGACATGAGAATGGAAACCCTGGGCCCAACCCGACTAATTCAAACTGAGGGATGACAGCCCTTTTTAGTGCACTGTACTGCACTTTGCTGCCATCAGTGTCACAGTGAGGACAATATAAGGCAGGGCCTGAAACGTTCAGATGTGTTTGTATATTGGCCTACATAATAGAGGTCTGAGCTTTCCCACAATTATAAATGTTAAAATAATTAAAATGGTTGGACAAAAGTAACTAAGAATGATTTACAAGAGACTGAAATCTCTGGAGTTGAGCCCCAGAAAATGCCAGATCAGATGGTAAGGGAGTGAATCACAGTGGAGAGGGAATTCAAAATCTTACTATCTATACAAATTCCAAAGGGCATTGTGTTCCCCCAACAGTACATATTGTTGGCCAAATTTCCTCCTATTTTTGTGTCTGCATTTATCTTTCGAATTTAATGTATC